GAATGCTCCAGGCCAGCAAACTGCTAAAAATTCAGCTTTTATAGAGGTAGTCACACTTGCTGAAGATCAATTAATCAAGGGCATTTGATTAACAGCACCTGCCTGCTACTTAGCCTCTAAATGTCTATGGAAGCACTAAGGGTGTACTTAGTATTTCACACTTGGCTTCCCCATTTTGGCTTTATGTTTGTAAAATAAATGATGACACGGTGTAATATGTCATGTTTTTTGTTCATCTGAGGTTGTATTTACCTAATTTTAAGACCTGCTAAGGACCAGATGATTTTTTATAATGTCCTGATACTTAAAACCTTAGAATTTTCTCGCAACTGTTTATATAAAAAAACAAACTATACATTCTCTTTAAATAGTTTGCTTGTATAATTTGTAACAATATGTGCACAGATGGCTGAGTAAAAAAGAAGCATTTGAATTTGGCATTGGAGGCTGGAATTTTTTTATAGCCTCAATTTAATTGCATTAATTAGGTTAATTAATAGTACTTAACATCTCCCTTTGCTTCTATATGTCTAAATTAATATTCTGTTATGTTATTAAAAGTATTATCTCATATTCAGTTCAGTCTGTGGAAAAAAGCTTCCCTTTAGGCTGAAATTATGTCTACCTCAATAGACTTTAATGGGTTTCTGAGGCTGATCAACTTCAAGGTGTGGCGGTCTCTGCCAATTAGGATTTCCAAATGTTCCCTATAATATAGAAAGTCTTTACATGTAATTTGTAACGTGCATGGCAATTACATGTAGCACTCCCCTGAACTCCAGGAGCATGTGAGGGACTTCAGAGGCAGGGTGCGCTAACAATTCACCTCAGGGATGAGCCGCTTGTGGGATGCAAATGTAAAGTTGGGTGCCAGTCACTTTAAGGATTTTTCAAAGGTATTATTCCATAAGCAACTCAGTGGGAGAGAGAGCAAAGTGCTACAGACATACAGAACTCCAGAAGCACCACTCACTCCCCAGCTTCACAGTGCAGAGGGCCTTTAAACTGATTGCAGTAACACTGTGTATTGAAGAACTTTAGCTGGTTAGTAGACATAGCACAGAATTCCCTGTGGTGAGACACCAGACTTCCTGTGAGGTCAAAGCCCACTCTGGCTTCTCTGGCACCTCGAGCAGCCAAAATTTATTTCTGGCTCTCAATCCCAGGAGCAGATTCAGACCCTGACTGGGTCCATACCTGACCCCCTGGCTTCAGGCCTGTTCAGACAGCACACATACACTCTCTCCCAGGAAGGAGGTCCGGGGGACAGGGGCTCTAACAATGTCGGCCCTGAATATTTATGCCCTCCCCCAGCATGCACCACAGGCCATGAACCTCCTTGTGATTTGCTAGGGAGACACACCTATTTATAGCTAGGGAGACAACCAGCAGCAGGCAGGTGCAAACAATAACAGAGAGCTTAGGGGAAACCAAATAAACACAACACATTTGCGTCTTAAAGAATCAGGGTGCCCAAAAGGGCTTTTTTTAGGTGAGGCTTGGTAGGCCAGGGTAGATATTGCCTTTCGATGTCACAGGGATCCAGCAATACCATTTCCTTACCTAAATAACTGCCTCTATTCCTTTTTACTATGATGTTTTGGTCATTCCTGGCTGGTCTTACATACTGTTGTGTTCTCCTTTATATAACATTTTTAAAAAATCCATTATAGGTGGTGGAACCCCCTTATTTTTGCTTTGGCATGTCTGCAGATCTGGGATCTCAGCACAGACTGTAGAGTCATACGAAACTGTCAGGTAGTATAATGCTCCAGTCTTAGCTGAAAGCTGGAATAGCATGTTTGGATAGAATGAGTTTACATTTATGATGCCTTTTGCAGGTAAATAGGACAGCAAAATAATTTTACTTGTATTTAAATAACTTGAATGACAAGCTGCATAAAAAGCAGCTTACATCATATAATAAATATATTATATTGTCCCTGTTCAAATGAATTTCACTGAATTTCTCTTTGTTTTAGCTGGATATTAGCTTGAAAATGTAATGCACTTATGGACTATTGAACACAAATTATTTATATTATTAAGATGCATATAGTGTAAGTACCTGAATTTCTCTTGATATAAGCTGCTTTTAAAGCCCAACTCCAAATCAAACATTTTATTTGGTTTTAAATAGGGGTTTGACACTTTTTATGTTTTGATTGCTCCTGGCTTGTTTCTTTTTTTGTAGACTTCTTCTCACTTCCTGTTAGGACAGGAAATGATGGGAAATCTCTACGTGGGAGACACAGACAAACAAAAACCCATTTATGTAGGGTTGAGAAAGTTTAGAATGTCTGACAATGATTTTATTGCGTCCAGTGTCTTCCTTTCCTAGTGATAGCTTAGTTTAAATGTATTGTACAGGGATCACTGCTGGAGCCGATAAATAATTGATTCCAAGAATGCTGTGGTAATAAACTAACATATACCTTTTGTATTGTGGATTTGAGGCAGATGGTAATTATTTAAGCAGCTTGAACTGAGTACTCTGGCTGCATGCACTATTTTTTCACGGGAGTGAGCTTGGATTGGCAGCTACTCTACAACACACACAGGGACCATGGGGAACAAAAGTAGCCACCCTCCAGGAGGAAGGACTGTGTCGGCACCAATTTAGAGTCGATTTGAGGACCTACAGCTGAGTGATACACAAATAAGATACATTTAAACTCCTGAGTTTAGCGTCACTTTAATTCTGATTCTACAGTTCTAAAAATATTTAGCTTGAATCCAGTTGAAGAAACTTCAAGAACATCAAGAAATGTGAAATTCAGCAAAAATAGTGCAGGTTGGTAAATCATAACATTACAGGATGGGATTAGAGAACAGTAGGCTGTTGACCTATCATTTAATCGGTATGTTTTTTTCTCTGAAGGAGTTATTAAATGCTGTTTAATTTTCATATGCAGCTAAAAATGTATTCATAAAATGCTGAGTCTTGTATAAACACATTTATAAAGATAGAGTATGTTTAGCCACATGTTGTATTAAAATATTTACTTTTATGAATTCTTCTCTGAGCTTTATATTTTGAAATATCACGTTTTCATTGATTATTTGATGTTAGTCATACAGACATGTTATTTGAAAATATATTAAAAACAAAATTAAATTTAAACTATCATCAAAAAGAGGTTATCCTGCGTACCGGTTTGTAATGTAGAAAAGGTATTTCCCTCTATTCCACACTCTGTATCAGTACTATGAAGTTTCTTCCAGCCAACAATCAAACTCAAAGTTGTCTTAAAGGTTTCAACATCGATGATGATATAGCACAAAGAACAAAAGAAACTACATGGCACAGCACAGCCTGACTTCAAGAAGCAGACCTACTCACACTACATGTCAAAATCTTCTAAAATCGGTCTGCAGTGCATTATGTTGAGCTTAGATTAAAGTTGAACTCTAGGCAGACATTTTAATAGATTTGTAGAACAGTGCTTTATACATTTTAGAATTTCTTCTTGTTTCCATGAATCCAGGCAGTGAGAAACCAAGACTTAATTTATTCATAAAAAGTCCTCTGTCCATTTAACATGACGTTCAAAAACCCATTGGCCACTGTTCCTTCTTTTGCAAGACTGGCCACCAAGCTTTTGACTTCTTATCTGTAGTTCTTTTTGGCATTTTTCTCATAAATACACTGCTGCTTTTCTGTAGTGAACAGACCTCGGAGTCTCAGACTTCCGGTCTAAACAGCCCACTGTAACCATTTTTTATTAACAGGCCAGGAGAGACTCCCGGTCTGTCCCATCTCTGATGACCTCACACTTAAACATACAGGGCAGGAGTTTGCTTATCAAACAATGCAGGTGCAGCAGGCGGGTGATGAACACAGGAATTGATGTTCCCACACACCTTACGATAATCGTAATGTGTGTGGGAGCCGTGCGACCTCTGCTACTGTAAGGTCACACGACTTTTACCTTAGGAACATGTTCGAAAACCAGCCGCAACATAAAAGCCGCACGAGCCGGTGTGCGCAAGCGCACACTGCCCGTTCAGCATTGCGGTCATCGGAAGCCCGCCCCTCAGCGGGGCGGGCTTGCGATCATCGCAAGTACGATCTGCCTGTCCAAGATAGGCAGATCGTACGTTTTTTTTATTGCCTTACAACCATCGCAAGACAAAGGTCTTGCGATGGTTGTAAGGTGTGTGCTAAGCCTAAAGGTGCCCATACACCTTACGATTATCGTAAGATAATCGTATTAGATCGACTTTTCGTACGACAATCGTAACGTGTGAATAGAGTGCCCGACCGATAGTACTGTACAATCATACGACTTTTGACGGTCAAGCATGTTTGAAAACTTTGGTCGATCGTACGATGTTCGCATGGTTGGTGGCGTTTCCGTCCGTCAAAAGTCGTACGATTAACACTGCGCATGCGCAAACGAAAATAATTGCGGTCAATTACCGCAAGTCGTCCAGGTGTTTTTTTAACTACCGCTGATTGAACCTTTCGATAATCGGGGCAGGAAGGGGCAGGAAAAGTTTCGTCCGATAATCGTAAGGTGTATGGGCACCTTAAGGCCTTCTATAGAGAGGTGTGTTCCAAATCATGTCCAACCAATGTAATTTACCACAGGTGGACTCCAATCAAGGTGTAGAAACATCTCAGCAATGATCAAGAGAAATGGGAGGCACCTGAGCTCAATTTCAAGTGTTGTTGCAAAGTGTCTGAATACTTATGCCAATGTGATATTGCAGTTTTTTCTTTTTAATAAATTCACAGACATTTTTAAAATTCTGTTTTCACTTTGTCATAATGGAATATTGAGTATACATTAATGAGGGGAAAAAAGAATTTAAACAACTGTAGTATCAGGCTGCAACATAACAAAATTGAAAAAAGTGAAGGGGGTCTGGATTCTTTCTGAATGCACTGTATACATATAAGACAGAAAGATAGGGATAAGTAACCTAACATGTACATATTAAAAGTTGTCTTTTTCAATAATTAAATTATTTATCTTTTTGTCTCTGTTGCCCAGGTTGTGTACTTATAGTGTCTCTCGTGGAACAGCTTGCTCAGGTTCATAACAGCACAGCAAAAAGTGCTATGGAGTTACTGTGACCCTCTCCCTCTCCCTCTCTCTCTCTCGTTACAATATGTGCCTGGTTCCAGTTTTGCCACAATCCTGCCCAATGTAACAGCATCCAGAAGTTGTAATGAGCTATGGGCAACTTAAAGGACATTTCCACCTTTGTGGGGGCATTTAAAAAAAAACACATATGCCAGCAATGTACAGTTCACAGTGTGTAGATGATGCCGGCATATGCAGATCCTGGATATAAACACAAAACTTACTTTTTTTTAGTTGTCCCCTAAGACCTCACATGTTTTTTTTTTAAATGGCTGCCAGACTGCTTTGTACAGTGGAAACTACAGTGTAGGGAGTGGAACAACCTCTTTTTTCCACAATGCTTTGCTTCTCTTATGCACGTGCATTCATTAATATTCATAGTGGTACCTCCCCCTGGGCAGTGCAGAGTGACCAGGAGATTTTTATTTTTTTGCCTGTGACTACAGTTGGAGGATTGCTGTGATTGCTATAGAAATCTGTCTCCAGTAATCGATCAGAACAAAATACAGGTATTCCTCACTTAACGACCGAGTTCCGTTCCTACGACCAGGTCGTTAAACGAATTGGTCGTTAAGTGAGGAGGAACTCTATACAGTACTGTACTTCATTAGTACAGAACTGTATAGCATTGCAGATGTACAGTACCGAACAGTGTACTGTACATCGGGCAATAAAAATACTTACCAGGACCCGCAGTGAAGATCGGAGGACGTCACTTCCGCCGGCGACACGTCGCACTGATGCTGACGCGCGAGGTCGGAGGTCGCTCGGAGGGCGGTCGTAAGTGCGAGTGGTCGCAAAACAGGTAAGTCGTTAAGCGAGGATTATCTGTATAACGGATTTCTTTAGCAACCTCCCTGGTGACCCCGCACATACTTGGTGACCCCGCATATCTCTGGTGACACTGCACCTCCTTGGTGACCACGCACATCTCCAGGGCCCCCGAGAACTCCCAATGACCCTACACATCTCCGGTGACCCCACACATCCTTGGTAACACTGCACTTGTCTGATTTTGTGCAGTGACACACTGGGCATCTCAGCTGCCGTTGTGATGTGCAGGGTCCCTGGTGTGTTTATGTGCCTTTAAGGAGGTAGGACTGCCTCCTGGCGAACCTGCACCCAATTTATCTTTTGCTACATGTGTACCAAGATGGAGACTCTCATAGGTTAGAGTTAGGACCGCACGACACAGCGGGGCCTTGACGAGGCAGTGCGGCTTTCACATATTCTGCAGAAGACGTGTATCTAAAACCTCTGTTTTTAACCTTAGTGGTTAGACAGGTTTTTTTTTTTGCATGCCAGCTGGTGAGTGTGCTGGGAACATTTTTGCTGTTGTACTTTCTCACACACAGAAAACAGTAACAGAGAGAAGGTCTACAGACACAACAAGTGCAGAAGATTTTCCTCACACACAGACACACATAACTCAGTGACAGAGAGAAGGTCTACAGACACAAGTGCAGAAGATCTCCCTCACACACAGACACACAGTGATAGAGAGAAGGTCTACAGACACAACAAGTGCAGGAGATCTTCCTCACACACAGACACACATAACACGGTGACAGAGAGAAGGTCTACAGACACAAGTGCAGATGATCTCCCTCACACACAGACACACATAACACGGTGACAGAGAGAAGGTCTACAGACACAACAAGTGCAGGAGATCTTCCTCACACACAGACACACATAACACAGTGACAGAGAGAAGGTCTACAGACACAAGTGCAGATGATCTCCCTCACACACAGACACACAGTGATAGAGAGAAGGTCTACAGACACAACAAGTGCAGGAGATCGTCCTCACACACAGAGTGCGTTTACCATTTGTTTTGCTTGTCTGATTTGGTGCAGTGACACACTGGGGGTCTCAGCTGCCGTTGTGATGTGCAGGGTCCTTGGTGTGTTTATGTGCCTTTAGGGAGGTTGGACTGCCTCCTGGCGAACCTGCACCCAATTTATCTTTTGCTATATGTGCACCAAGATGGAGACTGTCATGGGTTAGAGTTAGGACCGCACGACACACCGGGGCCTTGATGAGGCAGTGCGGCTTTCACATATTCTGCAGAAGACGTGTATCCAAAAACCTCTGTTTTTAACCTTAGTGGTTAGACAGGTTTTTTTTTTTGCATGCCGGCTGGTGAGTGTGCTGGGAACATTTTTGCTGTTGTACTTTCTCACACACAGACACACAGAAAAAAGTAACAGAGAGAAGGTCTACAGACACAACAAGTGCAGGAGATCTTACTCAGACACACATAACACAGTGACAGAGAGAAGGTCTACAGACACAACGAGTGCAGAAGATCTCCCTCACACACAGATACACAGTGATAGAGAGAAGGTCTACAGACACAACAAGTGCAGGAGATCTTCCTCACACACAGAACACAGTGACAGAGAGAAGGTCTACAGACACAACAAGTGCAGGAGATCTCCCTCACACACAGACACACAGAACACAGTGACAGAGAGAAGGTCTACAGACATAACAAGTGCAGGAGATCTTCCTCACACACAGAACACAGTGACAGAGAGAAGGTCTACAGACACAACAAGTGCAGGAGATCTCCCTCACACACAGACACACAGAACACAGTGACAGAGAGAAGGTCTACAGACACAAGTGCAGGAGATCTCCCTCACACACAGAACACAGTGACAGAGAGAAGGTCTACAGACACAACAAGTGCAGGAGATCTTCCTCACACACAGAACACAGTGACAGAGAGAAGGTCTACAGACATAACAAGTGCAGGAGATCTTCCTCACACACGCACACAGAGCTATGAGGAGATGTGATGATGACTCATAGGGAAGAGTTCTCCTCTCTGCTCTCTCCTCAGAGCTGAGTGTGTGCTCGTTCATGAGGAGGGGGGAGGAGTGAGATTGAAGATCCTGTGGAGGGAATTTTGAATTTCTAGGACTCTGGCCTGTGAAAGAGTCCATTAAAAGAAGTATGAAAAACAGTCCTGTGACCCCTGACAATGCACACACATATGCATCACCCTCACACCTCTACATTACCACAAAAAATACAAATCACTTACAAAGGTGGAAATGTCCTTTAAACCCCTGTACAATCAGGCAGCGTAATGGGGTGAACAACATCAACTAAGCATTCCCCAACGCCTGGGCTGGGAAACGTGTATTGTTGAGTGGCTCAATAGTTATGCTCAGGCAAACCATTGCTTAGGGCTGTAGCCTGGTGCATCAGCATTAAATCAAACTGCAGCAGTACATGTCCAGTGGTTTTTCTAATAGGAAAACATCCATCATTGTAGAAGGGAGGGGATGGTGGCAGATTGGTGCAGCTACAAATTTTAGCATCAAAATGATATGTGTATGAGCCCTATAGCATATCTAAACCCAAAACCAACAATTCAGTAAATTGCAGATTACCAGTCCTTAGATGTGACAGCCGCATTAGTTTTCATTTTTCAGGTTTTTTTCCCTTTAGTCCTGATAATCCTGTCTGGAAAGTTTGTCTTTGGTGTGAAAACCTTAACCAAAGAGTATAACCTTCAAGTCAAACACAGAGCCCCTAATGCTTGTCATATACTGCATAAATCTCTACTGAGTCCTGATGACTCAGCAAAAATTTGAGCTGTGTGTGACCGTTCAGCAAAAGTCAATTTATCAACCAACTTTTGTTGAAAGAGCCGGGCTGAAAATTGTGGGGTGAACAGTGACAGCAGCCAATCAGCTGCAGTCCATGCCAGGTTTCCTGACAACCTCAGGCACTGGCAGTCAGAATAAACTATCTGAAATTAAAAATGATTTTACCTGGCTGAGCATTTTTGGATTTTTTTCCATTGTTCTCCATGATGGTGTACTTATCTCTAAAAGCTAACTACTGAATCTGGATATGGGCGTAAGAAAGAGCATTTATTGTCACATTGCTTGTAACCGAAAGACCAGACCCCATGTGATCTTGTCAAGTCCTTCAGCGATACCCATTAGTGTCTCTAAAATCTTTGCTTAAGACAAAATAATTCTCCACTTACCATTCCTAGTCTGCTTTATGAGCTCTTTTACTTGTATTTTCAGAAAATGACGGTTTAAGAGGAGTCTGCACACTAATTACTGACCTTTTTGGACCTGATATAATTAGGCTGTAAGTGTTTTTTTTATTATTATCCATTTCTAGTTGCTTTAAAGCCAGTTGTTATGCTATCTGTAGGGATTTAGACATTTGTCCTAGGTACAGTTTTTTCTTTCTCCTTCTGCTAAGCCTGGTCTGGTTGTCACTCCCATGTTTCAAAATTTGACAATGACTAATCTTCACCTACTTAAATACGTGCAGAATTTGCTAATAACACTCTAAACCCTAGAAACGATGCCCTTTATTAATCTGTCCTTTGTTTAGTTTTCTGCATGCAGCTTGTAGAGGGTGGAGCCTGCTGAGTCCCTCCCACAGCTCTGCTCTGCACAGGCTACGTACAGCACAGTGCTGATGTCACTGCTACATTTACAAGGTTATAACTGAGTTTTACAAAGGCATTTTGTGCTCACAAAATTGAATTTAAATCCTTTGTGACTGTTAAGGAATAGATTTCAATAAAAGCTTTTCTGTCTGGAATTCAGTTTACTTTGCAAAGTGAACATTAAGGCCCTGTTCACACCAAATGCAGATCAGATCTGCATGAGTTTCTGCACACGCAGTGCAAGGGGTTGTGCCGCGTTTTTTGCCGCATTTTTCATGCATTCAGAGCCGTTTTTGGTAAAAAAAAAAAAAATTTCTTTTAGTTTAAAATGGGCTTTCAGTGCGTTTCAGGGCGTTTGCATGCGTTTTTGATGCATTTGCATGCGTTCCAGAGCAGGTAAAATAGGGCTTGCTGCAGTTTTTTTACATGCTCTGGAACTGAACGCTGCGGTGTGAACTAGAGCCCAAAATACCATTGGAATGCATTGGACGCAGTTTTGATCCGGTCTGTAACTGCTCTGCTCTGCTCCTGGAACGCATTTGGTGTGAACAAGGTCTTACTTTGCTAAGTGAATAGCCTCTGTGCCTTTGGTAAATCAACCCCAGTGTGTTACCTATGACAATAAAAGATTTCAGGATTCCTTTTGTGAGCGTCACAATCCTCAATGAGCTTAAATAATGAAATATTTACAGTGCAATATATACTTACCACAGGACTGGACAAATCCCAGGAGTCAGGCAGACAATGCTCCCTAAGAATTACAGCTGGCACCTAACTTTTGAGGTTTCTTCTGGCTGTTAACAATAGAGCGGGTTCCTAAAAATCCTGTTGGCTCTTGGATTTGACAAACTAGCTCCTGAATTCCACATTAATTTGTCCACCCTGACTTACCATATCACTGCCAATTCCAGCTTAACAGAAGCATGGGCAGTGCCTAAAAAACAACCTTGTCCTGGAAGGGCATATGTGCCCATGATATATGCTTGACAAGCCATAGTTACAAAATGAAGGTCATGGGCAAAGCCTAAAAAATAGCCCTGTCCTGGAAGGGCAAATGGGCCCATGACTTATGCTTGCCAAGCTGTAGTTACATAGTGGAGGACCAGTCCACGATATGTGCAGTCTACAGTAAATGTTACTAGAGATTGTTGACCTCTAAGATGAAGTTAGTATGTTCCTGTTTCATGATAATACGAGTCAGAAGTCAGTTTATCTGCCATTGTTATTCTTCTGTTTTATAAAATGCATTATTAAGGGAAAAGTTAACTGTGGCAGTACTTAAGTATACATGTGCTTTCTTAAACGCAGCACATTCTTGGAAATGCCATCTGTTATAAACCATAGTGTGTATTCTTAAACCAGCTGTCCCAAAATCAAAAGCGCAAATTATTTTGCAAAACATTTGTCTGTTTTATCTTCTTTTTAGGTTAAATTACAGACTGAATGCTGATGTAATTTGCCATACTATGAAATTATGTAATATTGACTCACACCAACCACTTTGTCACCTGTACAAGGAACCAGAGGTAAGGCATTGCTTCAAGTGGATGTAAATCCTAACAATTCACTTTTCTTATTTGCTCCCTATTGGTTTGTTAACTATACTGTGTAAAGCATGCAAGTTCTGTTTTTACAAGTTCATATTGTTTATAAGTTAAAGTGACATTAAACTTAGGAGTTACATTTTAAAAAGTACCTTCACTATTAACAAAAATGTAACTTATTTGTGTATCACTCAGCTGTAGATCCTCAAATCATCTCTGAATTGGTGCTGGCACTGTCCTTCCTTCTGGAGGGTGGCTACTTTTGTTCTCCATGGTCTCTGTGTGTGTTGTAAAGTAGCCACCACTCCAAGCTTACTTCCATGATAGATTACAATCTTATGTTTAGTTTACTAATTTGTATTCGGATTGTAGTCCAACATAGGAGCGTGCTTGGAGCGGCGGCTACTTTACAACACACGCAGGGACAATGGAGAACAAAAGTACAGTGTCAGCACCAATTCAGAGATGATTTGAGGATCTTCAGTCGAGTGATACAAAAATTAGCTAAGTTTTTGTTAATAGTTAGAGTACTTAAATGCATGTTAAAGACTTAACTGCTGAGCTTAGCATCACTTTAAATATGAACTGAAAGCAAGCAGCTAGATACACAGGTGAAAACATAGGGGAACTATTGTAATACAGTCTTTTCTGCCATTTTTGTGATCCTTGCACTTCTTCAGTACAGCACAGCAAGGCTCCGAACCTCTAATGCGGGTAGCAGCACTGACCTAAAACACATCCCCAGCCTTTAGCCTGGACAATAAAGGAGCAGCAGCAGCACAATGATGAGATTAACCCTCTGCTCACTCTGTGTGAAAAAGTAATACACAAATAGGCTACATTTCTGTTAATGGTTATGTCCCTTGAATGCATTTTTAAGGTTAAACTTCTGAGTTGAATGTCACTTTAAGTAATTTTTTACTAATAGACGATTATATTTATTTGCATCTGCATATCAATGAGAGATTCAACTACCTTGGCATATACTATATAATGGTTTATTCTCTTATTGTGAGCTAGACATTATAAAGAGTCAAAAAGAATGCACCCTTGAAAGCACTGCTAATTAAAAAAGAATGAAGGAGGTGATAGTGTTCTGACTCCATTGTTCAACACCTTGTAGAATGTGTAATTCTGTCAAGCGTTTGCTTGCTATATAGCTTCAAATTTAAAAAGTAAAACTGGCCATTAGAAGTGCATAGATAAAGAATACCCTAACTACTTAGCACCTGTATTTATCTTTCAAATCAGCAAGACAATCTAATTCACACAAGCCTGTCTGCTAAAACTCTGCATTTTAGTGGACAGGCTAGTGTGTAGTGGCGGCTCCGGCATTGTGCTTTGTATCACACACTGCTGGAGCTGACACTGTTTACTTTTGTTTTCTACTTTATGTGGAGTGTACAATGTGTACGTTCCATTAAGGTCCAACACAGCACCCAAATATCTGCACCGTTTTAGCAAAATATGTGAAAACCATTATTTGTTTGCTCATTGATTCCGACCTCCTAAATAGTGTTTAATAATGGTAGGATTTTCACGGTACAAAAATAGAATAAAACATGAAAACTATCTTTAAATTACTGGGTTTTATTCCTGACACTACAATTCTAAAGCTGACCATACACAGATTGAATTTCGGACGTTTCCTGTTGCATCAGCTGAAATCCAATCTATGGGTGGCCATGCAAACCACATTTGTTAAAGGAGCTGGGTGGAAAAATATTGGCCTTACAGTCACTGTAGCCAATCAGCTAGGGTATTCTGTCATCCGCGGGCACTGACATGGGAGCTATGGGGGAATCAAGAGAGTTCCCTCGTTCAGTCTACGGGGCGTAACGAGAAAAAAGATAAGCTGTATGGCCAGCTTAAAGGAGATTATGGAAGAGCCAAATTCGGATGGTGTCTAAGTGGTTATTACTCTTGCTTTGCAGAGCTGAGATATGGGGTACATATCACACACAATATTAATGGAATTGTTATGCTCTGTCTTTGTTTGTCTGGGTTTCCTCATGCTTATATTGGGTTATTAATTGTTCTGTAAGTTATAATTGTTGCCATAGACCCCCAATATATCTCATACTGATCTACTACAAACTTTCACCCATATATTGAACCTTAGGGGTTGATTTACTAACCTTATAAACACACCACAAACATGTATACACCTCTGTAGTGTGTTCCCTCCCAGCATGATCTATGGGTGGAATCTAAACACCTTTGTAGTGTGTACACACCCAGCAGGTGTGTTGTGCAAAGCCAGGCATGAATTGCAAGGTGATGTTGTGTAAATTAGCTCTATGTTGTGTTGCTTGCGTTGATGAATGCAGGAATGTAAATGCATGAGCTAACCATTTTTGTCTAAACTGTGAAGCAGCATTATATATGCATCATGTGCATGATTTTTCCATATATGGCATTAGTGGAAATATGCTTTTAGAGACTTTTTGGTTGATAAATACGTTTTGCTGTGTGAAAATCACACGCACCTGGTGCGTGCGTGTGTTTAGGTTAGTAAATCACCCCCTTAAGATCAAGTGACTTGTATTCTACTACAATGGCCAAGTTAGGTCAATGTCATTGACCAAATATAGCTATGAAGCCATATAAGGTCAATGACATCACCGCATTCTGCCCCTTTGCTTATATCCAGCTGCGGGCAGGGAATTAACCAGCTGCACCTAACTGGGTGGCTTCCTTCCGTGTTCAAAGCGCATTTCCTGAGCTCATCCCTAGTCATAAAATGATCACTGTCAAAGGAAGTAAAAGAAAATCTGCTTAATGAAGCCTTTGACTGAAACAGGGGTTCTTACCCTTTTCCATTGTGTTTAAAGCTACAAAAATATATTGGCTGGAGTTATATTGTGGTCTCTGCTGACTTCAAAGCAAGCCTAGCGCTCCCGCCAAGCTATACTGACTTTATATATATATATACGTGTAGTTATAGAAAAAGCTCCATTATATAAATACAAAATTGCTCCAATCTTGGTAATTAGTACATTTGTCAGAATTTCCAAAACATAGTCTAATAGTTAGAAAAAGGTCTGTTACAGATGATCTGTTCACCTTCAATAAAGACGCAGTTCATCTACTGTATGTAATCTTTCTTGCATAGTTTTCCTGCCTTCATTCTCTCACTCTCCTGGTGCAAAAAAAAAAAATGAGGTACATGCTGTAAATACATTATTGTAGATTTTCATTTTTACAAACTCATTTCCTAAACATTCTTATATATGACATGATAAATCACGCCTGTGTGTATTAATCATTCTACAGTGAATATGACATCTATAACACACTATAGATGATTCATTGTGAAACTGTTTAAAAACGGAATGTTACAATGTTACAAAAGCAACTAGTTCAGAATGGTCTGTATCTTAAAAGCTGTAGAAAAACAAAATTGTGAGTATAACGTAAGCATATGGAACTTACAGTATATACTAAGTGATGTACTGATCAATAATAAAACACAGTCAGCAGATGCATTAAAAGCATTCAGGTCTCCTGGTAACTAAGGACTTTGGGTTTAAAGTTGCACATTTTTGTGCCAGGATGGATGCTAATGCCAGGTAATTATACCCTGTATTTCTACTGCCTAAAAGTACTGCAGTAATGGAAAACAACACAGTTTGTCATTTTAAAATTGTCTATTTTCATGTTTCAGAAAAAGGCTTTTTATAATTCACTCAGAGGAAGTAGAAACTTTGGGGTTGATTTACTGAAGGCAAATCTGCTGTTCACTTTGTAAGGGAATTGCAGAGTTTTTTTTTGCTTAGTGAATGTGGTAAAAATCAACTTTGCAAAGAATACCCAAACAACTGCAAAGGGTATAAAAAATCTGTATTTTTGCTTGCTCATGATTGGATGATGGAAGTTAGCAGAGGTTCACCTTATTCTCTAAGCTTAGGGAAAATGATTGTGACAAATCCAGGCTGTGTATTGCTAACGCTGGGGAAGGCACTGTGTGTATGTCTCTTTGTTTATCCTCCCATCCCCCATCCACACCTATCTGTTAAACTAATCAGCCCATTGTTAGACTCTCAGCTCGAAGTGTGTATTGGGACAAAGCAGCCTCCTACAAAGTGGTTGATACCGGTTCGTTCTAGACCGGAGGGGGTGGGCTTCTTCCTATAAAACTCCAATGCTTTGTGTTAATAAAGGCTTGTGTCATTCTGCTTACCTCAAAAGGAGTTCTGCCTGATTCTTGAGGTAATGGTAACAGGGTTTGGAATACGTTCCATTTGGGAAGCCATATCACTGACGGAGGTGCTCAGTCGGGGTGCCAGGGAGTCCGTCACAATGATCATGCAATGTTAACAGCCTATTAGCATTTATTAAATCCACCCCTTTGGGGTTCAGCCCCACTGCCTCAATGAGAGATATTCATTTCCCTGATCCACACTAAACACCTTGGATGGGGACATCTTCCCTGCTGGCTATTGTTTTCTGATCATCTGAATGGATGCAGTCACTGTTCGGCCGACATTTTTCCCCCTTGCTCCTTCGATTTTTTTAGTCAAATTTGTCAAGCTGGGTGGTGCCAACAGGGCCATTCACAGCTTGAATTTCCTGCTGAATTTCAAGCTGTGTATGGCTAGCCTTAGTAAGTAAGAAGATATCAGTCTAATGGAACCCGATAGAGGCAAGCTGTAAAACACAACAGAGGTTCTAGCTTTGGTTTTTTGGACATACACTTTGCACGCTTTGCACGCTTTGATTAAGGTTTTCTCCCTGCAACTCCATGTACTATACTTGTTGTTAGTATAATCCCAGTGTACAACTATTAACCACATTCTCTAAATATTGATGTTCTTGAATTAGCAAAATTGTTAAATATGCTAATAAAATTAAGAAGGAGAACAGAGCCATAAAGCAATGTAAAGATAATGCTTACTACTGTATGAAGAGTTGCATAGTGATTAGTTTAACCCCAGACACAACATCCTAGTATAATTGTCAGCCATCTGCTTTGCAAGCTGTAGTTTCATCAATCATAAAAATATTGAGTCTCATTATGCCCACAGGTTTTAATGTAATTCTAGACAGGACACATCTGCAGTAGCACTTCCAGTCAAAGTATAAACATATAAAATGGGACAATCAATGTAAGTTATGTGCAATACAAGAAGATAAATAAGAATGTGTAATGCATATTTCTGAAATAAATACAGATTTGCTGCTTTAATCAATATTTCATACAAGTCTAGCTGCCTTCGTACCTTTTATATCAGTATATGGAGAAGAGTGAACAAGTACATACACACACACACGCACAAAACGATTGCTTTATTTTAGGGATGCACAGATACTTTTCGAGTACCAGTGCCGATACTTGGCATTTTCATGAGAACTACCGGAGGTTGCAGCGGTTGCAGCTGGGACCTGGCTCTGGCGCTCCACCACTGTCCTGAAATCATCAGTCTGTATTGTTTTACAAAAACTGTCACATGATAATAAACACAAATGTATCAGTACTCGTACTTGGAATTACTCAGCAAGTACCAGTACTCGTACTCGCGAAACTGGTATCTGTGCATCCCTTTATTTATATTTATAAAAACAAAATCGTACATTAAAACAGAGATGTACAAATCCCAGGAGCTCCATGTGCTCCTTACACATGACAGCTGCCTCCTAATTTTTGTATTTTTCTCTAGTCTAGTCTTGGAGCTCAAAAGTATCGGTACTTGTACTGAGTACTGTACTTGGTATCTGTGCAACCCTACTTTATTTCATAAACTGCAAAAGACATATTTGCATATCTAATAAATTCATATATTTTAGTTAAAATCACTAGACAAGAATGTCATTTGATAGCATGAGGCATATGGTCATTTTAGCAGTAACTTTTGTTGAGTTTAGTATAGCCCTAATCACCATGTCAAATTATAGGGGAGTATCCGTTTAGAATAAAAAGCCCAGACTGCTTGGAATCTATAACAGTTCACAACATTTCCCTGTAGCATGATGCCTGTCAACTACAACTACACACCCAATCTAGCCACTCATATACAATGCAACCCAGGCATCAGGATCATTGTACAGGTTGGGGAGGTCCCATAGAGGCCTACCACACTACCTAAAACCATTGTTTTACCTTTGTCATTTACACTGGTCAATGTGTAATTGCTATCTGTGACTTCTTTAGGGCATTCCCCTACCTATTTGTCTAGGTGACCAAATGGGAAATGTAAAAACCTCCTCCAATGGAGGCCCAGTAATGAAAAGCTGACAGAAGTAAATATGTACTTAACCCACACAGGGCTGTATTTACCATGATGACACTTTTTGATCAATGTTCTAAGCATTTTGTGATTAAAGTTAGAAAATGTACTATAAGGGGACATGTAGGTTGGGAGGAGTCAGATGACTCCCTACTGTTCAAGAATCATGAAGAAAACCTTCTTTCTCCTCTTTGTTAATTTGTACAATTAAAGAACAGCTATCCATTTAAGAAGATGGAATGCATTCTCCAACAACACATTCTAGCTTTTGTTGTAAGATATGTAAAACAATCTAATGATACAAAAGTTGGAGCTTGTACAAAAGGCAACCCTCATTCAGGTCTGCCTAGTTCAGCATCATATCTAAATACAGAACTGCCACCAAGAAATGCAAACCCATTCATGGCAAGTGTCTGTAAGAGGTCACTACTGATTTCTGTTACTGCAGCATGCCTTAACCTGTATGGAAACACAGATGTCACAGAGGTGCTTTGGGCATATTGGAGTCAAAGGATGTTACTGGATGCTCTCAAATCACTGCATGAGACAGGATGTTCTATGTATATGATAAAGGATAGACGGGTTACTGGGTGACAAAGCAATCTGAGAGGTCACTGAGGACACAGGAGCACAGGGGTCACTGAAGACATAGAAGTGACTGGAGACATAAGAGCGCAGAGGTAACTTCAAACTGGGTCACTGGAGATACAAGAGTCAATTGAGACACAGGAATGCACACGAGTCACTGGAGACCCAGGAGTCGCTGAAGACACAGCAGTGCAGGGTACCTGGAAATGCTGGGGTCACTGCAGACACAGGAGTCGCTGGAGAGCGAGGAATGTACAGGGATCACCTGTGGAGACACAGGAATAAACAGGGGTCACCAGTCACCACAGACTTTGATGTCAATAGAGAGAGGGAAGTCACAGCATCAGTGGCGTGCTTGGGTGACTGGAGTGCACATGGGACACAGAGTCGCTGGAGGCACAGGCGCACTTGGAGTCACGGGAGACATTGGGGTCACTGGGGTGCACAGGGGATACAGAGTCACTGCAGGCATATGATTGCAGGGATCACTGGAGAACTCAGGATCACAGGGGTCAAAGGAGGCACAGGAGTTCAGGGGTCACTGTAGGATACTGGAGAGCAGGAACTACTACAAGACACAGGAGCACAGAGGTCAAATGAGGCACAGGGGTCACTGGAGGACACTGGAGACCAGGGGTTACTGGAGGACACAGGCGCACAGGGGTCAATGGAGACATGGGGGCTTGGCTTAGGCATAGTGATGCATTGCTTGAACACCGAACAACGTTACACCTAGCCCTTTAACGCACCACCTGTTTGCTTATTGGCTGCCCGGCACTGGATTGGGGTCAAGAGTGACAGTTACTACATAGAAGGATCCCCAGAAGACAGGAAACTTCTAATTAAAGTAGAACTACAGTATGACCTCCCTTTAAAAAGCATATAATGAAGTGCTGCACTTCATTATAAGTGCATCTGCAGTTAGAGTTTTCTCTTAGTTCCCTTGAAATGTACCACAAATACTTGTTGATCCTGCCAGTAAAGTCCACCTAATACAGCTTCCTGTGATGGTGTGGCAATGAAGCTGTACTACTCCTGAATACAGCAGCATTGTCGCTCTCATGTAGGCTTTGGCTACTTACACGATAGTGTGATGAGAAGATGCTGCAGGGGGCATGGCTATCAGCATTGTCACTGCTGATTTATAAGCCTATAGCTTGTCAATCATCAGCTGGCCACACCTAGTCCTGCCCACTGCTTTCTGGTTTTGCAGCACTGCCTCTGTTTTTGGAAACCTCCCACTGTTCGCTGCAGTGTCTGGGAGGGTAGCAAGTGTAATACAAATAAAGGAGTCCTTGGTTCACTCAGTGAAGGTAGAGAAAATGTTATTATTTACTTTATGAGGCTCAGGCATCACATAGCAACTAGATTTGGGACATGTTTAGACTCAAAATACATACATTTTAGTTTAAAGTAAATCTAAAGAATCTTGTATAACAAACTGGAGGAAAAACTTCATACACGGGTTAGGTAAGGTCATTAGGAATGGTGAATCATATGCGTTCTGCACTTTCCCTGATAAACAATTGAGTCATCACAGCCCTCTAAAAGGAAATGCAAAATAACCTTCAAAAATTATTTTAGACACTTTTAACACTACAAGCAAAAAAGAATTTATAGGTTTTGTCATTGAAAGATAAATTGCAAGGCAGCCAAACTGACAAAACACCAAGGCAAATCACTTCAGTCTTACTTTTATAACATTTGCATTAATCACTGACACAATTGGCATTAATGGGCTATATGCCCACTTACTCTGAAGCCACAGTATGCCAGGTGGAAATTCACATTTCACAGTTATAATAAATGGAGATGTCTAGAGCACCCTAATTATGCTACCAGCTTGGAATGAAAGATGTAGGTACATCAGGTGGGTATGAACCAATTTTGGAGTCATTTAGCAGCCTTCTTTTAAAATAAATTGATGCTTAGGGTTCCCATATTTTTAGACATTTGACATCCTGTTGTTAAGTCCATCATCTGCTGCTTTTTTACCAATCACAAAGCTTTCAAACAATGACATGTTTGATTCCTTTAATACAAGTAATATACATGTAGCGACAATGTACCATATGTACCAGTGCAGTAACAGTGCAGGACCACTGAGCATCAAGATACTGATATAGTAGAAGACTAGTTTTAGTTTGCGTAGCCATAGTTGTGAAAACTATTTTATACCAAGCTCAGTTTTATGTTAAAAATAATGAGAATATGGGAAGATGTCATTATGGTTTAGCAGCCCTGCCCTCCTACAAGATTTGTATTCATGTATGGTATCAGCAGAATTCTGGTTAGTGAATGGGCTAGGCATCCTTTAGGTCCTTTAATGGGCCATACCAAGTCCTATAAAAAGAAGTTAAACTGAATATATTTATTTCTATTCTTTTAAGATGGGATTAAAGGAATCAATCAAGCAAACTGAAAGGCTGTTAAAGAACTCTGACTATGCAGTATGGGTAAGTGTAAATGTAAAGAAAGGATGTGTTGGTCAATTATTTTGGAATTATGCAGAAAAATTAATCATTGTAATAAAAAGTTTGTAAGATTTTCAATGCAAAAATGTACACATGCAAAATGTGTTAAGCTGTCATATTTATTAACGATCCGTTCTATAAAGACATTGTGACGTTGATATTATGTTCCTATATAAAGACATTAAGGATGCACCGATATCGTTTTTCATCGAGTATGAGTACCGATGTTTTTTTTCGATACTCGCCGATACCGAATGCTGATACCGGAAGTCCTATTAAGAAAGCCAAGGCGCCTGGTGCTCCCTTGTTACCATGTGACAAGGGAGCATGGAGCCTGCTTTCTGGCCAATCAGGAAGCCGGGTGCCCTGTAATGACTAGTTGCCCGGCTTCCTGATTGGTCGAGAAGCTGGTCAATCACGAAGCCGGGCAACAAGTCATTACATGGCGCCCGGCTTCCTGATTGGCCGGGGAGCCGATTCCATGCTCCTTTGTCACCGGGTGACGAGGGAGCATAAAGCTTTCTGGCCATTTTGAAAGCCAGGGAGAGGGTAATGACTCTCCGTCCGGCTTCTATATTGGCCGGCTTCCCGACCAATCAGGAACCTAGGCGGCGAGACATTACACGCTGCTTGGCTTCCTGATTGGCCGGGAAGCCGACTCAATGCTCCACTGGCTGGGGGGGGGGGGGG